TTTGGATGACGTCACATCCGGGTTCCCCTATTCCCGGTGAAGTATAAGGATTCCGGAAAAACAATCTGTGTTTATATTATATTTATTATTTTTTATATATATATTATATATATACTAAGTACATATAAATCCGAACACCCAGTTTAAATGGTTTATTTAATAAAAACTTTTATAAGTACTTAATGAGTATAATAAGTAAACGATTAAAATTTCAAATGATTGCACTGCTTTAAAGCGCTTTGACCTTTAATAATGTGTAATGCACCCTGATGTGCTACGCATTCTTCAACGCGAGCCTAGGCAAGCTTCTGATCAGGTGGTCAATGTCCTCCTGTGGTATCTCATTCCAGGCAACCACCAACTCCTCTCGAAGTGTTCTAGAGTCTGAGGAGGACGTTGTAAATTGAGCCAATCTCCTACCCATCATATCCCACACGTGCTCAATTGGGGATAAGTCGGGAGATCTTGGTGGCCATGGTAACAATGTGACATCATTATGTTGAAAGAAGTCTATTGTGACTCTTGCCAACATGTGGTCGGGCATTATCTTGTTGGAAAGTTGGACCTGCCAGGGTGTCAAGGATAGGGTAAAAGATGGGGGTTCTAGAACTTCGTGGATATAACGCTGCGCGTTCATTACCTCTGATGAGATTAAAGGTGACCTGGAACCATAAGCTATAGCACCCCAACCATAACTCCAACAGTGTGATGAACATTGTCTTTCAACAAAAAACTGTGGATTCCTCCTTTCACCACGTCGCCTTCTAACCCTGGCACGACCATCGTGCATGCCTAAACAAAATCGAGACTCGTCACTAAAGACAATACTGTTCCATTCCTGATCCAGAGTGACCGTTGTCTGCACCACTCAATGCGATTACGTCGGTGTTCTCGAGTTAAAGGGAGGACCCAGTGTGGCCGGTATGAAAACAAGCCAAAACTCTCATTCGTCGGTAAACACTTCGCATGCCAATAGGTCTTCCGTGTTCTGCAAAACCATTCATTGCAATGGACCTGGTAGTGGAGAAACGGTCCCCTTAAGGGCCAATAATCTTAGGCGGCGATCTTCACGGTCTGTTGTTCTACGGCGGCGTCCAGTGCCCCTTGCTCTTTGCGTACGGCCTTCTCGAAGCCATGCCTGACAACATCTAACCACAGTGTCTACACTTCTTTGCACTCTAACTGCAATTGCCCGAAAAGAAAAGTCCAGCTTCCCGAAGTCCCACTATACGGCCCCTATCAACTCACTAAGTGACGAAATCGTACAGGTTCCGTACTCTAGGCTCGTAACGGATCGTAAAGGATATCAAGAACCAAAATCTGCCAACGTTGATTCTTTACTGCGGCTGAAATATCATTTTTAGAGCTTTAGTGAATTAAAAAAAGCAGTATAAAAACCGGAATGTCCCAACTGATAAGGCTGAAAATTTTTTTCACTTGTTATTTACGGTAAGATAAATACATTCACCAACTTTTTTTAAAATAAAACCATTTAAACTGGGTGTTCGGATTATATGTCACTTAGTTATTTATTAATTTAAAATAATGAATTGGTTGAAAAATATATGAAACTTAAAAAAGTAATATTATTTTCAATCGTGGTTGGGTAAACGAAAAAGTATATGGTACTTTAAAGTTTAGTTAGATGTTCAGTATTGAGGTTTCTTAATGTCCACGATATTTCTAATTTTTAAGAAGCTAGGTTTTAAAAAACTTAACGACGTCTTCAATAAGATAAGTAGACGTCTTAAAAATGATTGTTTCATGTCGTTGATGCTCTTAAATCCGTCGCAATAAGGATCTCTTAAAAACATATGTACGTCTTTAAGACGGCCCTGAACTATAAGGAAAAGAATAACTTCACCGAATAACCTGCGAAATTCCTTTAGTCCAAAAATTACTGCTCGGATACAAATACAATTTTGACACCAAAAGGTACTGCTATGTCAACGATAGAACATCTTCACCACTGATGACTAAGTCAACAAACTTATATTTTGAATGTTTCGGTTAGCCTGCACTTGATAGTGTTATGTAATTTGTCTTTACAGGTATACGATACTGCTAGTGAAATAACCACTCCAGAAGGCAGTCCCAAGTCACAAACGCAGTTCCCGATTTTGCCACCTGGTGCTCAAAGATCACTTCCACCGCCTGGCAAGTGAGCAGACAAAACGACAGGAAGACCTGTACCAGGTACTATTTGCTTCATTTCTTTTATCTCAATTGAAAAAGAAATTTTGCTTCCTTCTTTTTAATACTGTTGTTGAGATCATCAGTATGTAGCATCATTTTATAATGATAAAGTAGATTTACTGTTTGATAATTCACTAAGAGCAAGATTTTGACGCAATAACGATGAACAGAAAGAATACAATAGTCATTCGATCGACTAATCTTCAAACCATCTTTCTGTCTGTAGGTTCGACTGCTCAGATGGTAACCAGAGAATATAGAAGTGAAGCTACATCAAGTTACGTCGGAACCAGGAACGTTCCACCTTCAGGAGATTGGTTTATAGATAACGACAGTGAAGCTAGCTACAAATAAAATGTTTCACTAGAAAGGAAATTCTTGCTTTGAAGTTGCTCAAATATTCTAAATGACACGCTCTTAATGTCTAAATATTTTACTTAACCGTTAAGATGAAGAGCGTAATTCAGCCCTCAAAATTTCCTTTCTATTCATAGTAACAACTTATAGGCAATTTGTACACAAATGTCTAGCTGTACGATTTCTCATTTTCTGTAAAACAGAACAAAAGCTGTCCTTTCAGATGTATGGAGAGTAACACAAGACGGGTAGGTACCTTCAAAGCCCTTCGTATGTTTCCTTTTAAAAATACCGCTTTTACAATACTTATGATTTATATTCTTCAGAATACTAGAATTTGTTTCGATCTGCATGTTTTAGTTTTCTCGAAGAGAGTGGTATAACTTAATGTACGCCACTGCTAAGGGAATGTCATTGTGTAACGTATGGACGGCTCCATACACAGCAGCAGCATCTAGATCAGTGATGCTCTTGTACAATTTGACACTTGATTATGAGTCTGCATTTTGCTGACCACATGAAACCATTTATGTTCGATCACTGTTCACTAACGTTAATAGTTATTTGGGTACTGCTGCGTCTTGTAGATTTCGGATTTCACTGTTTTTTCACTTGAAACATATAGAGGGTAGTTTGATAGATTATTTTAAATCATAAAAGTGTGAATGAAGCACGCTTTTCATGATTTTTTTCCCTAAACACTGTATTTTTTAGCAGTTATTTCCACCGCCATCTACCATATGACGTTGACGTCTGTGGATATGTCATATATCGAGGCGCTTGCCTGCGGTGTTGCCGGATTGGGCTACATATTTAGGGGAAAATA